GATGCAGCTATTAACCCTGGTAACAGGTTTGTAGATATAGCTCAAAATGCTTTTCTACATTGATTATCTTATCCGAACGAAATTTTGTAGCTTAGGTTGGCTTACTTTCGAAGATACTGTTAGCACCTAGCAGGGATGGAGCCAGGCTATTTTGATGTTGTCACTTGACAACAATGAGTTTTAAATACAAGGCTAAACTGTTGTTGATCTAAGAGAAAACAAGACCAATAATCATTCTTTTGAACACTAGTGACATCAATTGTTCTCTATTCTGGATTCGCCTTAGCATTAATGGTTTTTTCTTAAGATCACCTAGCATTAATGCTTCTGTTGTACTGAACTTAGCACTTAGACAATCCTAAGAATATTTTGGCTAAGGAAATGTCATACAAAGTAGATTTTGACCCTTAATTTCTCTTACAATATGTTGTCAATTGTTGAGAGAATCAATATCATCTCATAGGCTAACTGTGGACCAAAATTTGTAAATTTTGATTTTTCCTTGATCAAAATACGATTGTCATTCTTGGACGGATGGAGTACCATATATGGTTTATACTTTATACTCGATACCACTTCAAACATTGTAGAATAGCGAGGATCGTTGCCGATTGTAAAAGTGCAAAATAGTGAATCAGATTTTACATCAGTGATCAGTATACAGACTATTAATTGGTACTTTATTTAAGTGACTAGCATCGAACATTATGATGCACGAATTTGGAGATAAATTTCTGCTGTAGCAGTTTGCATAATGATTATATCAGTGGTTAGCATGTTACTACTCTGGAACTTGGGATCACTATAGTCAAGTTGGGAGCCTGACAAGCTTTAATTGATAACCTGTTTTGAGTTAACTATTTCTCTGCACTCAGATGTTTAGCCTACTGCATTCATTATACAAGCTCGACCTTTATCCTATCCATACCCGATTACTTAAGTACATTGCAACTAGTGATTTACATACATTAGGTCTTGCTTTGTTAAGCATTTCTACTGTGTCATATCTTTTTCATTAAATATCATGCACTATGATTCCCTCAACTGAAAAGGTACTACAAAGCACTTTGCTAACCATGTATTTTATGAACCTCAATGCAGTGGTGGTCCTTTGCTTGACTCAAAGGGGCATATGATTGGTATTAATACAGCAATTTTCACACAGACTGGTAAGATTAATCCCATTTCTCAAAACAGTGCTAGCAAAACATATGATTCGATACCTCCATCCATAAAATAGTCCTTATGCTGAGATGTTGCTGCAGATGTTTCTGTTTTTTATGCATAAACAGCTACACATACCTCAACATCTATGCTATCTGGCCATCATCAGTGAAAAGTACACATGTAACAATATTTCACAAGTGTTGTTGACTTGTTGTCATAATCTTAACTAGCTTATCGCAAAGTTTAATAAAAAAAAGGGTGTACCCAGTGCAGAGAGCTCCCGCTCTGTGCGGGGTCTGGGGAAGGGTGTCAGTGGCAAGCCTTACCCTCGCCTGTGCAATGCGAGGAGACCGCGACTCGAACCCGGGACCTTCCGGTCACAGGCAGTAAGACTACCGCTTGTACCAGGCCCGCCCTTCATTTTCTAATTCATTTTCTGATTCGTTTTCTAGATTTCGGTCACAAGCGGTAAGACTCTACCGCTTACCCTTGCCTGATCTTAACTAGCTTATCGCAAAGTTTAATAACTACATATATTTCTGATTCATTTTGTAGATTTCTTTGTTCATTGTATTATTGTGATGAGTGATGACATTTAGTGACTTCCTATATAGGATGGAATGTTGAGTTGGTGTTACTGTATTTAAAATCATTTCTTTAGTTTGGCATTGGCTTGCATCCTAGTCTCCTAGAGGCTAAGAGTTTTTACATGTCATTATTCTCTTTAAAATGGATTGGTAATAGTTGTATACTCTTTAGATCCTAGCTTCTGTACAGACCATAAGTTTATTTTATTCTGTTTGTGTTGTCCTGGTAGTGCATAAATCAGATTGCCTCATATCCAATATATGACTTAAGTTTATGTAGTTTCAACAGTTAGTCTGAGATGTGACTGTTTCTTGGTGTTTCAGGAACATCTGCTGGTGTTGGCTTTGCTATCCCATCATCAACTGTACTTAAAATCACTCCTCAGTTAATTCAGTTAGGAAAAGTATGTTGCATGGATGTCTTTCATTACCAACTTCATACTCCAAAGTTTTCTAAACAATGCCTTGAGAGATATTTATCAATGAACTGTTACTGTTTAAGATGCTTTTATTCGTTTTTTTTTTTAATTCCAGTTGTCCCTAATGCGTACGGTTAGCATAACATACTAACAGTAGATCAGATGCTCTGAACAAGCATGCGATTATTTGTAAGATATGGCGTTTTTCCTTTTTTTTTTATGCAAGATATGGAAAATTTGTAGTAGGAGGTTAAGGTTCAGCTGATCAGGTTCTTTGAAGGAAAGTTATTTTGGTCTCGGTTTGCCTAGCTAGGACTAACTATCCTTCCCTCGAGATCACGTCCACTATATATTTTGCTGTCTCTTGAAGGATTTTTTTTTCACAAAATTCATAGCACAAATAAGCAAATTGGGTTGCTTTTCTCATTTAATGTTACGCTTTGTTCAACTCTGATACATCTGTCTACGTTCTGTATTTTATTTTATCCTATCCTAAGTTAGGTTAACATTTCTTTCTTAAGGTTCGTCGTGCTGGCTTGAATGTGGACTTTGCTCCAGATCCAATTGCATATCAGCTTAATGTTCGCAACGGAGCTCTTATACTTAAGGTAAACTGAATCACTGGTACCCTTCTATTTTGTTATCCAAACAGGATGCTGTAGATGTTTGCCTGCACTTGCATCCCCATTTTTTCCTATCGGCTGTTCCTCCGTAGGTACCTGGGGGCAGTGCTGCAGCCAAAGCAGGCCTTGCTCCGACCGGCAGGGGTTTCGCTGGTAATATTGTTCTCGGTGATATCATCGTTGCAGTGGATGGCAAACCTGTGAGTTCCATCTTGTTAATGTGGCCGTCGTCGTGTAGGCATTTAAGATCCGGATAGTCTTATGAACCTTGCTCCTGTTTCTCGTGTCATCGTTTCGGGAACAGGTTAAGGGCAAATCTGACCTGCTGAGGGTTCTGGATGACTATGGCGTCGGAGATCAGGTGACCTTGACAATCCGGCGAGGCTCTGAAACCCTTGAGGCAACCTTGCCTTTAGAAGAGGCAAACATCTGATTCAACTTCTGAGAAGTATCTATCCAAGCTGTCGCAGTGTAAGTTTATTGCATCGGCCGAGCTGTCCAACCTTGCCTTAAAATTTATTGTTGAATCAGACTGATGTTACAGAACTCGCTGGAAGCCCGACCTGTTGGTTGAAATTGTTATCGTCTGATTCTCATCAGTTTCAGTTCTTCTGACTGTTGGTTGGAATTGTTCTCATTTTCTTGGTTGGCAAGATCATGCGATGGTGTGCACGCGGTCAGTCAGTGTTTTGTGGTGACCGCTCGTCCGCACCGGCTGCAACGGAGAGAGAGACCGTGGCCGAAGCCCCGCAGGCCGCAGCCGAGGTGACGTCGCGGTGCGTTAGCTCACGTCGCGCTCTGGCCCGGAGGTGGCGCGCCCGCGGAGGGCCAGCGCGCGCAGAGGGCAAGGGCGCGCATGATGGTCGATGGCACGCCACGGCCGTCGCCCGGTCACGGTGGTGATTAGGCGAATGGGCAGTGTGGATTCGCTAGTGCTTTTTGCTTCGCCGGCGCGCTTTAAGTTAAAACCGGACGAAGGGGATTTTACCCAGAGAAAGCGAAAGGGAGGAAGGAGAAGGCAAGAAGGGGAATGTCCCTGCGCGCGGCAACAGTGGCAGAGCCTCCCCCGCGGCTTTTCTCGCTGCGCGGCGTGGCAGTGGCACTGGCGGGCGGGATTCGGCTTCCTGCTCGCTTTGGATCTTTGAACGGGGTAGCCCGTAGGCGAGCGAGCTTTGGCACCGGTCCCACCACCCCAGTCCAAGGCCGGCGGAACATGCACAAGAACGGCGGCACGCGACGTCGATGGGGAACAACTTAACGAGCCGGGGAGAGGAAGCAACGTACTACTAATCCATAAAGCAGGAAGCAGCATGAGCTCGCCTCGTTCTCTTTGTCCAGCACGGCGCACAGGAGCGCGTGTCCCCTCGGTCGTCCGCGCTCTCGGCGCTGCTAGCTCTCGCGGCATGGGGAACGCCGCGCGCTCGGCTCGGCTCGGCTCGCCAGCTTGAGGCGCCTTGAGAGCGAAGGTTCCAAAGTACGCAGGTGCGAAAGCAACAGTTTGGATTGGATAATCTGCGGTCGATGCATCCAAACCTAGAAAGACCAAAAGCGTACGTAGCCGAGGCTGGCTAGCTAGTGCCGGCCGCTTTGTTTTCCACCTGGCAGAATCTTCCAAAACAGCGTTGAACAGTAACCCCCACAGTAATACGAGTAGTACAAATACAAGCGCATGCACTCTACTCTTCTCTTCTCTTCTTTTCTTCGCGAGGCACGCTCACCTCTATGCCTGTTCTTTTTCTTCATGTTGGCGTACGTTCGTCAGTGAAAACCTTCCCGTAATTACCAAGCTAGCCAAGCCACGCCCGGGGATTACATACATATATGCCAATCTACACCTCAAGTATGCAAAAAGTGACTTGTTGCCTTGTTGGGTGTCCCTCTCTTTCTCTCCTTTTGCTTTTGGACCACCGCGAGGCGCGAGATCTCACTCGCTCTCAACCTCACCCGTCTCTGTTACAGATGCGGCCTAGACGAGACGAGGACGAGGGGGGCTCCTGCCTCCTATATCTACCGGAACAAAGGCGCACAAGCCGGCCATTGGCATTGCAAACCAGCAACAGACATGGCCGTCGAAGCTTCTGCCGCCGGCACGCTGCCGCAAAGCTAAGCTTGGTAGTGGCATAGGCGCGTAGCCAGCGGGCGGTATCCACCCCCGGCCCGCCGGCTCTCATTGCAAGAGCGCGCGAGAGGGATCGGAGGACAGAATGAGAGTCCTCGGCCTCGTGCTGGTGGCGGCGGCGGCGGCGGCTCTTGTCCTTGCTGCTCTTCTGAGCTCCACCCCCGAGGTTTCTGCCGTCAGAGTCCCGGCGGCCCCTCTCGCGGACCAGACGAGCAGCAGCCGGCGTGGCGCCTCGTCATCATCACTGGCCGACGAGCAACCAAACAAAGCGGCGGGCGATAACGCCGCCCCCGGCGCCGATGCAAGCAGCGCCAGGCTCGACGCGTCCAGCTGGAAGGCCGCCGCGTCGTTCGGCGGCTCCTCCTCCCCTCCGTCCACGGTGTTCCACCCCGACAGGATGAGCAAGCGCCGCGTCCGGAGAGGCTCCGACCCCATACACAACAAGTGCTGATCATCCGGAGTACATCCGTGGCGTTCCAGTGCAATCGAAAGTGTCAATTCTCTTGCTTTGTTTTCGTCTCTCGATTTTTAATCTTCTCCTCTCGCGCTTTTTTTTCTTTATTTCTTTCGTTAGCACTTTTTCTTCTCTCTCTTTGAGGTTTGAGCTGCACGTTCTGCTACCTACTGTTCTAGGGTGCGAACGATTTTGTGCTACAGAAATACTTGTACAGAGATGCATGATCTTGCATGCCAATGAAAGGTGAATGTCGAATGGACGACACGCTGCCGCAACTCGCGAGTGAGTGGAGATCCACGTACGTCTGTATGTAAACTTGTGTGTAACTCAGAGCTACTCACTTTGCACAATGTGTGCTAATAAGTTCATCAGACACGATCGAGTTTTGACCCTGCCGGCCGCACTTGAGCTTGCCATGGTATGAACAATTTGATCTGATGATAGACAGTTCCGGCCGGGTACCCTACATACGTCTAGTTGACTAGTTGAGAGTGACAGGGAAGCAAGCAAAAACCGGTCGAGTGCGCAGCGCAATGCTTGCTACCGCGCGCGTCGTCGTCGCGTGTTCTCGTTTCTCAACCAGTCCAGGAGCAGTGCAGCACAGCAGGCCCGTTCCCCGTTGGAGATCGAATCGATTCAGAGCGATGGTCGGCGCCGCAAAATCGGTAAGATCGGGACGGTGGGTTGCGGACAGTGCAGCCGGTTGTTCGCGGCCGCGGCGACCGGCGAGTCAAGCGGTTGGCACTTGGCAGAGCGATGCGGTGGTGTGCGGAAGGAAGCGCGACGAGCCGAGATGTTGCAGTTGCAATCGACCTAGTAGCCCATAGGGAGTGATAGTCCAGTCCGTGGAAAACGCTAAGGGCTACTTTGGCAGCATGAGTTTTCCCTGTGGTGGAAGCCCCCGCGGAAACCTTTCACGGGCTAAGTTGCCGATCTATTTGGAAGCCCGTCTCGCGGGGATCTTGGCCCAGATTAATCGTGGAAACCTGCCCGGCCTAACGATACCGGGCAGCGTTCCCCGTCCCCGTCTCGCTCGGCTGGCTCCTCAACGCGATGCTTCCCGTACGTGTCGCGAGGCCGCCGCCGCCGCCACCACCACCGTCCGCGACTCCGCGCTTGTGAAACTTTGTTCCTGCTGACGTGCTGCATGCAGCGCATGCTTATCGGGAGCTGCTACAGTCCTATCATCGGACCGTATTCCTGCGCCGGCCATAGGGCGCGCGAAATTTTCCCGCGCGCGGGGACGCCATGCGTGGGTCCGTGGGTCCGGTGCGATTTAATTTCTTGCAACCAAACTAAAAAATATCATAACGGCTAAACCAAATATCCAAATTAAATTTCGATTACACCATCGAATTTCTTGCAATAAATTCTTCAAAACAAGATCCCACATAAATATATTTAGATAAAATTTTAATAACAATCATTCATCTTACGAAGATAAAACATTTTTGTATTAAGCCAACGATGTTTTAGGTTCAGCGAATAAATGTTCCATCTCCGTAAGGAAATATTATCGAATAACGATTTTCTAGTTTTAGATTCATGAAATTGGTATTATAATATACATAAAAATAAATAAATAATATAAATAAAAAATAATAAAATCTAGAGCAAACCATAAGAAAAAAATAAAAATATGTAATAGAGAAAAATTTAAAAGAACATCACATGGATATTTTTCAGACATCCTAAAATACACTATAGAATATCACATGTATAGTGAGTGAACATCACTAAATACATAATAAAACACCACTAAAAATATTATAGAACATCACATATATATTACATGAACATCACTAAATAAACTATACAACATCACATGTATAATGCATGAACATCACAAAAAACATCATAGAACATCACATGTATACTACGTGAACATCACATAATATATCATAGAACATCATTGTATACTATGTGAACATCACATTTATACTACGTGAACATCACAAAAATACATTATAGAACATCACATGTATACCACGTGAACAAGCATTTTTAGCGCTGTTATCGAGGAAGGTAGCTAGACAAAGGAAGTATTGATAAGCTTATACTTATTGATGTGATCGAGATAACCATTGACCTCTACTCAAACAGGCTTACCCTTGTGTTGTCTACTTTTGTATCTTATGTAGGGTAATGTATTACTGATTTTGATCTTCCGACAATCTATGTTGACTATCCAGAAGCATTACTTAAGAGAACTAAGGCTAAACTCAAAAAAGTTTCAGCTTTAGAGTCGGAAGACAACCAGATAAGGCGAAGCTTAACACCAGAATTTAAAGCCATAGCTAACAAGACTCTCCATGAATTCTCTGCTCCAACAACAGCTAACATCCAAATCAGACCAACAGTCAATGTTGGAGAAAATGGATTCGAGCTCAAGTTAGCCCTCATCAACATGGTGTAAGCAAGCCAGTTTTGTAGAAAGGCATATGAAGATACGAGTGCACATCTCCAACACTTCCTGAAGATCTGTAACACTTTCACCATCGAAGGAGTGACCCAAGATGCCATACTACTTCGCATCTTCTCATTCTCACTCTTGGGAAGGCAAAGCAATGGTTCTACGCCAACAAAGATAGAAATACTACATGGGATAACTGTTCCACTGCCTTTCTAGCAAAGTTCTTCTTCATAGGTAAGACCAATGCTCTGCGTAGAAGAATTTTTAAGTTTTAACGACAACATGACGAATCTGTCTCACAGGCGTGGGAACGCCTTCAAGATTACATAGCGAGAATGTCTTCATCATGGGATGAAGAATTGGTTACTCTTGCAGACTTTCTAGCATGGGTTGACCAACAAGTATCCTTGAGACTATGGATGCCATTCTTTGGAGGTGCATTCATGTCACTCACACTCATAGCCGCAACAGCTCTTGTGGAGAAAATAGCCTCCAACCAAGGTTAGAATGAAGAACGTCTTCAGACCCGCAAGAGAGGTGGTGGTATGCATAAACTTGAGGAGGTAAATATGTTGTCTGCCAAGATAGACCTGCTGATGAAGAAGCTTGAGGACCGAGTGTGGGGGTATGACCCCCGGTATCCACAAGACAAGATATGGGCCGCACCATCAGAGGTGGCCCAGCCCACAAGATCAAGGCGTGCATGGCGCTGCTCGGCGTGCACTGTAAGATATTGTATAGTACCAAATATGCTACTTTCCTTGTAACCATAGCCCTCTAGAGTATATAAGGAGAGGTAGGGGTCCCCTAGCGGACAAGATCCATCACGATCCATACATCTCAATACAATACATCAGAACATAGGATGTAGGTATTATGTCATACTGACGGTCGAACCTGTCTAAATCTTGTGTCTTGGTGCTTGTATTACCATCTTGCTCCTGATCTTGCTCACCTCTACGACAAATCTACCATCGTGGGATACCCCTTGGTGGACTGCCGAGCATCTTTTATCGACAGTTGGCGTGCCAGGTACGGGTGTGCGCTTGATCCATGGCGAGCCAGATGGACCTCAAATCAACAGCGCGTTCTCGTCATCAATCTCATGGAGATCCATGCCGGTCGACGACGATGATTCATCGCTAGCTACATCAGCCCCCGTGACAGTAGATCCGATCTCGGAACCACCTCCGAGGTCACCTTCATCAACAACTCGCCGCCCGCTTCCTCGCTACCAGAGAAGGCAGATCAACAACGACGATCTGATCATATCCATCGATCGGGTCGGTCTGAAGCTCACCGATTGCCTCTCCATCGCCGAATCGGCTCTGGACACTTTGGTTCAGCACCGACCACCTTCCGATCTAGATCTATCGGAGGCTACTCAGAAAACTCCAGGAGTTGCGGCTCTACCCTTCGGGTTCACCAATGCTGCCGCCGCTTACCAACATGCCCTGAGGGGCAGATTCGCCAACCAGGTTGAAGACGTCCATCCTCTCGTCGACCAGATAACGCCATACGTCGCCGACCAAACTTTTTGTCTAAAGCTAAGTCACGCTTTAATATTCTTCTAAATATTCTCCAATCTCCGTATATCGTCATGATGTTTCTCCGAACTGTTTTCTCCATATTTTCTCTCCAAACGATTTTTCGAACCCCTAAACAGTCATGTTGATGCTCGGACGCCTCCAGAGACGGCCCTGCCTCTGGCTCCTCCCTACACGTGCTACGGGCTCCGCGCTCTGCGTTATGGGTGGTCAACAGCGGCTCCTTGGTCACGCCTGTTCCTCCTACACGTGCACGGGCTCCGCGCTCCGCGTTATGGTTAATAGTCTAGCTAGGGCTGGAGACTTAGCTACACACTAACTGTTCGGGCGGTTTATATTAAATGCATCTTTGCTCCAACTGATCGCCAAGCTACATACGCTATTTTTTCTCTGGAGTTCATATATTTTTTCATCATGTATTATCCGTTCTATATGTTTGTATTGCAGGGTCATCGTCCAGGTGATCGGACCACCTGGTGCTCGGGCTTTTCCACCGATCAACTAGTCAGACCACTTGGTTCAAGGACTCCATCACCGACCAGTTGATCGTACTATTCGCCGGTCGCTTCTACTCAATGCTCACTTCACCGCCAACCAGTTGACCAGACTATTCGTCGCTCGTGCTTCATCGCCAGCTACGCCGGTTACTCCTTGGCCCTCAGATTCTTTGTGCTTGAGGACTAAGTGGGCACACTTCACCGCACGGACGTCGCCAACTACGCCGGTGCTCGGACCTCGCTAGATTCACTAGGAACTCCTCGGTGTTCGGACATCGCCAGCTACACCGGGACTCCTCGGTGCTCGGACATCGCCAGCGACGTCGGGGACTCCTCGCTCCTCGGAACTCGGTCATCGACAGTGACGTCGGGGACTCCTCGCTCCTCGGTGCTCGGTCATCGCCTGCGACGCCGGGTACTCCTCGGTGCTCGAACATCGCCAGCGACGCCGGGGACTCCTCGCTCCTCAGAACTCGGTCATCGACAGCGACACCGAGGACTCCTCGCTCCTCGGTGCTCGGTCATCGCCCGCGACGC